CCACTCAAGATTGACTCAGTCTTCCATTCTTCCAAGATTGGTAAAATGAGGAGCCAAATTGCTGGGGGGGGGGAGATCAATATGCCAATTCTGTAAACCGCTTAGGGAAGGCTATAAAGCACTGTGAAGCAGTATATACTGTATTTTTCGGAATATAAGATGCACCAGAGTATAAGATGCACCAAGGTTTTGAATAGGCAAATTAAAAAAAAAAGTTTTTGCACTCTGCAAACCTCTGCAAACTGGCCATTTTTTGTGAAAACATGAATAGCCCTTAGGAGGCTTGTAGAGTGTTTCTGGGGAGATGGAGAGCAAAAACGAGCAAAAAGTAGCCCATTTTTGCGGAAAACAGGCCTGGTTTTTTGTCAAAAAAGGGCATTAGGAAGCTTATAGAGTGCTCCTGGGGGCTGGGGGGAGCAAAATTGAGCAAAATATGGTCCATTTTCTGCTCATTTCCGCCCTCTCCTGCCCCCAGGAGCTCTCTGAAAGCCTCCTACAAACTATGCACAGCCATTTTGGTGGAGGGGCAGGATTTCAGGAGGCAAAAAAATGCTGTATTCAGTGTATAAGGCGCTCCCAGATTTTCAGCCTCTTTTTTGAGGGAAAAAGGTGGCTCTTATAGTCTGAAAAATGCAGTAAGTCTAAGTGCTATTTTAGCGTGCTGTGCGAATCCAGCCACTTGTGACTGATCAACATGTCATGTTTAATCTAACAATTGTTTGGCCAAGTCTGCCAAAGAATGCCATTACAATATATTTGCTCTTATAATGGATTTTTTGGATCTGAAAGACAAATTGGTAGGAGGAATAAGAGGCCTCTTGTCTCTCTGCGGTTTAGGGCAGTGCTGGTTAAAGGGTGGACTGGACATGCCAGTCGGTCAGGGTCTTGACTAAAGAAGCAGGTGAGTGCTCCTTCAGTATCCAGCTTACTGATGTATTTTCACACTCCCAAACCTGAAAGACACTTGACAGCACTAAGATTGGAAGAGAAGCCGCAGTAAAAACAAACAGAGCAAAACAAAAAACACTTCCCTCCCCTTCTTGGCACACTGGCATTGGGGAAAACAAATATGGCATGGGAAATGCTCCCCCTGCTGTAGAAAAGTTCACTTTGCTTCCTTGCTCCTTCGCAAACGGACAGAGCTTGCAGCTGTGTATACATTTCTTCTGGACATTGGTGTATTTGCTGAGGAAAACAACACATGAAACTAAGGAACAGATAGTTTCAAATTTCCATCACATCTGCTCTTAATCACTTGCTCTGCCATGACTCATCCGCGCAATAACAAAACTGAAGGGATTCTGTATGATTCTATGGATCACATTTATATTTCATTCTCCTTCCTAGGAGCCAAAGAGTTGCATATGTTTTAGTTCTTATAAGACGTACGATGATAATAGAAAGTGCCTTGCTTACATAACAACCAATGGGTTTCATCACTCAAAATAAAAACAATAACAATCTCTCCCTCAACATGCCATGACTGTTGTGATCTGCTAAAGTTGTCATTTGAGGCGTTCCTATAATGAGCATGACGAGAACTTTTAGCTGCGTGCAGGCTTAGCTATCATAGTTGCTTTCTTTTGCGTCATAGGTAAGTAAGAAGGGTAGAAAGCAGCCCTGACATTCTTTTGAAATTAGGCCGCAGCAGGGGTGTGGTACAAAAACACCAAAGAGATTTGGCAAATACTGTTCCGTAGGGAACAGAAAAACCACCCAAGCAATGACTCATGCCAATTTTTTAAAATTTTCTAAAAAGTTTCTACCCAAATCAGAACAAAGTCTTAATAGGTTGTCTGTGGCTGTGCCACAGAACAATTGAGCAGCGGGGTTTGTTTTTTTCAAACTGGGCCAGTTAACACTCAAAATGATAGATGCAAACTTTATTTTTTTCATTCTTAAGCGTTCAACATTTTTTAAAAGGTTAATTTGAGGTAGAGATTCTGGGTTTAGGTTAACTTGTCTTGTGAACATTTTCCTTCTAAATTAGTCCACTGAATGAACCCAAACCAGCTAGAGATGGTTCTGCGACTTAGAAGAAGGGCCTTCTCTGCAGTGGCTCCTTCCATTTGGAATAACATTCCCTTGGAAATAAGGTTAGCCTCCTGGCTACTTTTCCAAGAAGGCCTCTGAAAACATGGTTCTGTCAGTAGGCCTGAGGACCTTAGGGGGATCTGGAGCTTATCAAATGGTATATCTGATCATGTTTGTCACCAGCACGGATTGTGTTTGTGTATGTGTGTCTCTGGGGTTTTTATATTGTTGATTTTTAATGTACGCCATCTGGAATCTTGTGTGAATTGGGCGGCTATGTAAATCTTAAATCCCGACTATTTTAGTTGGAAAAGAAAGCATGTGGTTAGCTGTCTCTTAGTGCTAGAAATGGAATCAGCAGCACAATCAGATGGCTCAGTTTAGATGGAATAGAAAACCATGACTTCATATTCCCAACCTCCGCTCATGCCTTCTCCTTTCCACTCCCACTTAATAAACTGCAACTCTTTCTCATTCATAGAAGTCATAGTTCATAGAAGCCATAATTTGGCATTGAAACACAGAAAAATATGGTTTTTGCAAAGTGTATTTGCAGAGTTTGGCTGTAATGGTAGATTAATTTCAGTGAACAACAGAAAAACAATCTGAAAGCCCAAAAGAGGTTGTGAAAAAAAGAGGCACATAAAAAAAAATCTGTAGTGCAAATGGCCAAACCAGGTTTGTCATTATAGGTGATACTGCCCCATAAATGTTGAGTCAGAAGCAAATCCCACTGAGCTGAGTAGCATTACAGTCACTTTTGGATGAATTGTAGCCAATACTAAACATTATTTTCCAGCATTTTTTGAAAACAATTTCTGCTTGGGTTGATGGATATTTTTGTTAGATTGTTTTTTGCTGTTTTATATGTGCATGAGAGTGGCTGGTTAATTGTGTGTGTATATATATGAACCTGTGTATGTGTACTCCAAGCAAACAAATCACATTTGCAAAATTGCCACAAATAATTATTATTTATTCAATTTTTATAGCCGCTCATCTCAGTCAAGTGACTCTTGGAGGCTTAATATTCTAAAACGCAGGCTAAATGCAGCCTGATTGCTGACAGCCCAACATAATTGGATGTTTGGGGATTGGGTGACTAGCAGAGTTGGCTTCTTTATTTTTCAAAATTTCTCACTATCACTATAAAGACCTAGTGTAAAAATCATATGCTCTGAATTGAAGAACATTGAATATCTTTCAAGGCAAAAAATTCATTCCTGGTTACTTCAATCTTCCTTCAGTTTTGCAATATAATTTATGATAGGAAAGAGGAGTGTTTAGTCACTGCTGTTGTTAAATATTTGTGAATCAGAAATCTTTCCTAATTTGCTGTACTGCAAATCACTCAGAGATTGGCCAATAAATCCCAAGAAGCCTTCTTTTTTGTCTACCTGTAAAATCATCTTGCCTTTTTTCCTTTAAAAGAGGCTAAATCTTGCTTGGTCAAGTTGACTTGGTAGTCCTATAAAAGATGGGGCCCAGTGGCGAATCCCTCTGTTCAAGACTGCATGAATAATGATTGATGCAACCGTTCATATTACAGTGACTGAAAAGATGAAGGTTAAGGTGAGTATTAAGGTTGCATAGTATTGGTTATTGCATGGGTGATAGTACATAGATTACCTGTATAAACATTCCAAGATCCCACTGATTAAATTGGGTGACATAATGGCCCAGCTTTGGTAATGCAATCTTGTGGTGGTGTTTGGTTGGTTGGTTGCACAGTCAATCAGGTGTTTAGATGGGGTTTGGCATTCTTGTCCATCTGTTGAGTCCATCCCAAGCATCTGGGATGGGCACATGCTGTGTGATGTAATTAAAGGTATTGTTACAAGATGTAAGCTGTTCCAAGTAAAGCTGCCTTTTGCAACTGACTGATGGTGATTTTGTCAATGCCAATGATGTTCAAGTGATTGCATGCAAGGTGCCTATTACTATTGGTACTATTTTTGCTTTCTTTTGCCATGGTTATTCCACTTCTATTTGTAGGTCTTTGTATTCTCTCCAGTTCTTTCTCTCCTATTCTGCTGTCTCCAGGTACTGTCATCTTTAATGTCCTGTTGTTGTTGTTGCTGTTGTTGTTGTTCTCCTCCTCCTCCTCCCCCTCCCTGCAGTCAACTAGATGGTTAGACTGGATTTAGCATTTTGTCCACTTGATATTATATATATATATATATATATATATATATATNCCTTCCAGCTCTGTTATTCTATATTCTACCAAATAACTGTAGAAATATTAAGTTATATATCATTTGATATTACTCTTGGTAACTTTATACCTTGGATCAAAGACGGAATGACTTAATTCTAATGGCTAGAGAACAGTACAGTAGTGGGAAAGGGCAGTTGCTCTCCTGTCCATGTGTCTGTCCTTCCTGAGTTGGCCTAGTTGGCCACTCTTGGCTCTTCTAATCTTATCAGATAGTCCAGTGAAAATGGCTTTGTGAGCATCCAGTTAAAAGCAGAGAGAAGACAATGTTTATTATAAACTGACCAGGGCTTTCTTTCCTGTACAAGGGGTATAAGCATCAACTTACTTAGAGGACAAGAAAGTGGAAATGTGACAGATTATAGTATGTAGGGGTTAAAGTGGTTACCTGAGCAATATTATTATGTTACTGCTTCAAAGCATTATTTGTGGAATTCTTGGTCTCTCTGAGAGATCTTGGTTATATCTTGCAGATATTTCATTTCCCACTCTTCAGTGCTAGAAAGGCTTGCCTTGTCCACTGTAGACTATAGTAATGATATAGTAACGAACTACAAAACATAATTAGTATTAGAAAGGGACGGGGATTTCATTCCTTTCTAACACTGATTATGTTACCTAGATGGGTAATGAAACATCTGCAAGAAAACCACCAAGCTCAAAGAGCACCAAAAACTCCACAGTTCAACACCAAGTTACAAATATTTTCTTCTATTGATAAAGCATCCTTTTGTGTGTGTTTCTTCAGGTCAGATCTTGCCTACACACCGAAACACGCCAAGTCCCATTGATCCCGACAGCATTCAGGTTCAAGTTGGGTATGAACCAGACCCTGCCGATCTTGCTCTTTCTAGCATTCCTGGTCAGGAAATATTTGACCCTCGCAAGCGCAAGTTCTCTGAGGAGGAGCTCAAGCCCCAGCCGATGATTAAGAAAGCTCGCAAAGTCTTCATTCCCGAAGATCTGAAGGTAACTTGGGACTGGTGTCTAGGGCTGTGCAGAGGGACACAGTAAATTGGAGTATGCACAGGTAGATGGGTCACATTAAAGAAAGAGTGTCTTTTTCTAGCTTCTCCCATACTTGTGATAGAGACGGGAAGGACAGCAATTTGATACAGTTAACATTTGGTAGGAATAAACAAATATCTTATTATGAGAACCAGGGAAAGAGAGCCCTGAATCTCCAAGAGTGGGTTCAGCTGGAGTTGATAATCCTAGATACTTACCGTATTTTTCAGAGTATAAGATGCACTGGAGTATAAGACGAAGCAAGGTTTTGAAGAGGGAAAAATTTTTGCACTCTGCAAATCTCCTCAAAACAGCCCCCCCTTTTTTTTTGCAAAAATGGGCCCGTTTCTCTCCCCAAAAACCCTTTAGGGAGCTTGCAGAGTGCTCCTGGAAGGGGGAGGGGGGTTCCAAAAAAGAGCAAAAAATTGCCCATTTTTTGTGAAAACGGCCCCATTTTTTGTTTTAAAAAAAGGGCATAGATAGTCTTTAGGAAGCTTATAGAGTGCTCCTGGTGGCTGGAGGGGTAAAATTGAGCAAAAAACGGGCTGTTTTTTGTTCATTTCTGCCCTCCCCAGCCCCCAGGAGCTCTCTAAAAGCTTCCTAGAGGCTATGCATGGCCATTTTNCTACTCGTGAGTTTAGATGTCATACCCCCTTCACCCAATTGCCTATAAAATAAGCCTTGACAGCTATCCAGAACAAACACAACCTCCCTAATGGGTATGGATAGGAGGGGGTCGACATTTTGACATTCCATCGGCTAAGAATCTATTGGCAATGTCGGTTTTGCCCTCTGAATTCAAGGGTGCCCAATGCTAACCCTAAGTTGGTTTTTTTCCCATTATGGGATTTCCCCAAATATTTCACTGGGAAGCATAGGGGATGGGGACTCGAAATGTAGACCCCTCCTATCCATACCCGTCGGCTAGGAATCTGTTGCTGACGTCGGTTTTGCCCTCCGAGTTCAAGTGGGCCTAACCCTAAGTTGATATTTTTCCACTAAGGGATCTCTCTATGTATTTCACTGAGAAGCATAGGGGATGCAGACTCAAAATGTTGACCCCCCCCCCTTAACCATACCCATCGGCTAGGAATCCGTTGGCGACATCGATTTTGCCCTCCGAATTCAAGGTGGCCTAACCCTAACCCTAAGTTGGTTTTTCCCCATAAGGGATTTCTGCATGTATTTCACTGGGAAGCATAGAGGATGGGGACTCGAAAAGTTGACCCCCTCTTAACCATACCAATCGGCTAGGAACCCTAACCTTATGTTGGTTTTTCCCCCTATGGATTTCCCCATGTATTTTCACTAAGAAGCAGAGAGGATGGGGAGTTGAAAAGTCGAGCCCCTCCTATCCATACCCATCGGCTAGGAATCCATTGGCGAGGTTGGTTTTTCCCTCCAAATTCAAGGGGGCTTAACCCTAAGCTTAAGTTGGTTTTTTCTCCCTATGGGATTTCCCCATGTATTTCACCAGGAAGCAAAGAGGGTTGAGACTCCAAAGATCAACCGCCTCCTAACCATACCCATCGGCTGGGAATCAATTGGTGAGGTCGGTTTTGCCTTCTGAATTTCAAGGGGCCTAACCCTAACCTTAAGTTGTTTTTTTTCCCCTATGGGATTTCCCCATGTATTTCACTGGGAAGCAAAGAGGGTGGAGACTCCAAAGGTCGACCCCCTCCTATCCATACCCATTGGCGAGTAATCCGTTGGTGAGGTCAGCTTCCCCCTCCGAATTCAAAGGGGCCTAATCCTAACCCTATTTTGGTTTTTCCCCCCTAAGGGATTTCCCCATGTAATTTATCGGTAAGCATAGAGGATGGGGAGTTGAAAAGACGTGCCCCTCCTAACCATACCCATCGGCTAGGAATCTGTTGGCAAGGTCGTCTTTCCCCTCTGAGTTTAATTGGCTCATCCATAACCCTAAGTTGGTTTTTTCCCCCTATAGGATTTCCCCATGTATTTCATCTAGCATAGAGTGTGGGGACTCCAAAGGTCAACCTCAACTAATCATACCCATTGGCTAGGAATCCATTGGCGAGATCGGCTTTGCCCTCTGAATTGCAAGGGGCCTAACCCTAACCCTAAATCCTTTTCCTGTAAAGGATTTCCCCATGTATTGTCACCAGAAAGCAGAGAGGATGGGGAGTTGAAAATTGAGCCCTTCCTATCCATACCCATCAGCTAGGAATCTGTTGGAGAGGTCGGCTTCCCCCTCTGAATTCAAGGGGGCCTAATCCTAACCCTAAATTGGTTTTTTCCCCTATGGGATTTCCTCAAGTATTTTACCAGAAAACATAGAGGGTGGAGACTCCAAAAGTCGATTCCCCTCTAACCATACCCATTGGGTACCAATCCATTTGCGATGTCAATTTTGCCCTCCGAATTCAAGGAGGCATAACCCTAATCCTAAATTAGTTTTTTTTTCCCCTAAGGGATTTCGCCATGGTTTTCATCGGAAAGCAAAGAGGATGGGGAGTTGAAAAGTCGACCTTCTCCTAACCATACCTAAGGGCTAGGAATCCGTTAGCGATGTTGGTTTTCCCCTCCGAATTCAAGGGGGCCTAACTTTAACCCTAAGTTCGTTTTTTCCCCTATGGTATTTTCCAATGTATTTCACCGAGAAGCATAGAGGGTGGAGACCCCAAAACTCGACCCCTCCTAACCATACCCATGGCCTAGAAATCCATTGGTGAGGTCGGTTTTGCTCCCAAATTCAAGGGGGGCTTACCCTAACCCTAAGTTTGTTTTTCCCCCTATGGGATTTCCCCATGTATTTCACCGGAAAGCATAGAGGCTGGGGACTCAAAAAGGCGACCCCCTCTTAACCATACCCATCAGCTAGGAACCCTAACCCTAAGTTGGTTTTTCCCCTTATGGGATTTCCCCATGTATTTCACCAGTAAGCATAGAGGGTGGAGACTCCAAAGGTCAATCCCCACCTAACCATACCCATCGGCTAGGAATCCATTGGAGAGGTCGGCTTTGCCCTCTGAATTGCAATGGGCCTAACCCTAACCCTAACCCTAAGGGAGTTCCCCATGTATTTCACCGATTAGCATAGAGGGTGGAGACTCCAAAGGTTGACCCCCTCCTAACCATACCCATTGGCTAGGAATCATTGGCGATGTTGGTTTTGCTCTCCAAATTCAAGGGGGCCTAACCCTAAGTTGGTTTTTTCCCCTTTGGTATTTTCCAATGTCTTTCACTGAGAAGCATAGTGGGTGGAGACACCAAAAGTCGGCCCCTCCTAACCATACCCAAGGTTTAGGAATCCATTGGTGAGGTCGGCTTTTCCCTCCGAATTCAAGGGGGCCTACCCTTACCTACCCATCAGCTAGGAATCCGTTGGCGACATCAGATTTGCCCTCCGAATTCAAGGGGGCCTAACCCTGTTTTGGCTAGCAGGAGCTGTTGGAGCTGCCGATGGACTCCGATAGTGAGGACCCCTATGAGTCTGCTATGGAAGATGTGGAGGATCCTGGGCAAGCAGGGATCAGAGAGGCTGGTTGGCCACCAGGAGGCGCCTTAGGCATGAAGCAGTGGGGAAGAGAGTTTGTCCCTGATGCCAGGCAATGGAGGGCGGAAAAACGGAGGTAGCAGTTACGGAGACAGACTCATAAGAGATAATCAAGCACAGGTGGTTGTGGCTTGGCCCCTCCCAAGGGAGTGTATAAGAAGAGACTTTGGGAGGAGTCCTTTGGCAGGACACAACCGTTCATACTAATCTGGAGAATTTCTTGTCTTGTCTGCCTTGTGTCCCCGTGCCTGTTGGAGTCTGGGTGCCAACATCTTGCAAGTGAGTCATGTCTGGGCTTTCAGCCAACAGGATTATAATTGCTGTGAATAAAGAGTGGCAAACAGCTAAGCCTGTGACTGCGTTAATTACCGGATGGAAAGGGGCGGGGGCAGAACACTAACCATAAGTTGGTTTTTTTCCCCTTATGGGCTTTCCACATGTATTTCACCAGAAAGCATAGAGAGTGAAGACTCCAAAAGCCGATCCCCTCCTAACCATACCCATCGGCTAGGAATCAGTTGGCGAGGTTGGCTTTGCCCTCCGAATTCAAGAAGGCCTAACCGTAACCCTAAGTTGGTTTTTCCTCCCCTATGGGTTTTCCCCATGTATTTCACTGGGAAGCATAGAGGATGGGGACTCCAAAGGTCGACCCCCTCCTAACCATACCCATCAGCTAGGGGATCCCATAGGAGAAAAAACAACTTAGGGTTAGGGTAAGGCCCCCTTGAATTTGGGAGGAAAACCGATCTCGCCAATGGATTGGTGTACATACACAGACATGTTTTTACCATTGTATGTATAAACTTGACCAATCACTAAAGATGAAGTCCAAACATGGATACATTTGGGCGTACCTATAAAAAAAAACTAGGAATTCCTACCAGATCTGGTCAATGATCATACAGTCACTCTAAATAATTGGATTCATGGTTGGATAAAGCCAATAGCCTATTGAAATAACTACAGAAGGTCGTCTTAAGACAGGGGTGTCAAACTCAAGGCCTAGGGACCAGACCCAGTCTGTGGGATGCTTAGGTTTGACATGTGGCTGCCCTGGAAACAGCGAAGGACTGGCCTGCAGTGCCTCTGCCAACGAAAACAGAGCTCGGGAGGGCAAGTCCTCCCAAGTTCCATTTTCACTGGCAGAGGGTTGCAGGAAGCCATTGCATTTGAAAACATAGTTCAGGAGCCCGTTTTCTCTGGCAAAGCGCTCAGGTCACCATAGACTCCCTCTGACACAAATGATGTCGAGCTGGCCATGCCCACCTTGCCCCCCCTCCTCCCAGGGTCAAATACAACCCTGGCACGGCTCTCAATGAAATCAAGTTTGACACCCCTGGGACTCTAAGAGAAGTAATGAAATGGTGACAGAGCCTCATCTGCTGAGCATCCAATTGTGTATTCATTTTCACGGGGTGGACCAGCCTTCTGTTCAGTTGAA